ACAATACACGACAATAGTCAAATTTTATTGAAAAATAATAATATAAACAACAAATAATTCTTATGAATGAGCAATCTATATGACTATATAGCATTGGATTTTGTCCCCTGGCTACACGAGCGCCATCTTAATTGTATACATTTTGGTGGCCACTTTTTAATATAAAGATCCATATAAGATTGTCCTCCTTTTTTCTACCCTCCATACTGTAATGTAAGTTGCAGTAACAGCATATCAAGAAAGATCTGTGGATGATACTTTGTAGAAGAGCGAAGAGCTACGGTATACGGTTATAATACATAGATTTTTGGTAACTTTAATTGCCGACAGACTATCAAGCCACATATATAACTAAATACTCAATTCATCATATTGAATAATGTCACAACAGGCATTAACAGTGGTAGGCAGTAAGTCTACTAAACAGAAATGTAATATTGGTGCAGTTTGCTATCCACCCAGGCAGAATCTTAAGGAAGAAGCCTATTATATAACCCTTCGGCAAGATCCTGGAGAGAGATTTATCGTCGTAGGAGGGGAGGGGGGAAGAAGGCTTAAACGCTTAACATGTTGACTGGGATCTAGATTAACTATTAACAAATTAAATCGCACAGTAACGTTATCGTTTCGACGAATAGTTGCATTTTTTAATTTTAAATATGTATCAGGTTTCGGACACTTCACTAACGCCTCGCCATGATCACAAAATAAACACTTTTTGTCGTCAGATAATTTAATTTTTTTTTGGAATTAAAGAGAACGACATTATTACTCAAAAAATTACACGACTTCAAAGTAAACCAGTAGATGTAGAATCGAGCAAGACTGATTAACAACTAAAAAATAATTTTCAAAACGAGCCAAAAATTCTAAGGTAGGGTTGAATTTTCTATTTGGAAGGTTATAAAAATTGTTTATGACAGGAAAAACAAATAGAAGAAGAGTTAAACGTACAATTTATTCAAAATACGAAATAAGTCCTTTTACCTATTTGTATTCATATTTCAGATCTAATTGAAAATAAAACCTAAAAAGTACTCACTATTTATGAAAGATTGATGTTTTCGTATTATAATTTATCAAGTAATATTTATATCAGACAATTCGATGGTATGATTCATTTCTCTTTCCTTATTTTTTTTTAGTATTTATTATTATTAGTATTATTAGTATTATTATATGTACAGTTCATCAAATTTCTAGAGGCTTTCGACGGCTAGACAGAGAAAGCACTACTGAGAGGCATCGGTTGGCGGGGCCGACGGATTTACGCAATGAAAGTACACTCTGCGCATCAAGTATTTCACTATTTTATTCAGACGTAAATGTCAGATGTAAATTTCGCTAAAACATTTCTTTTATTTTCGTTTGTGTTTTTTGCTCATTACAGTTTAATAGAACCTAATAGAACCTAAGTATAGCAAATTAAGAGGCCGCGTGATTAACAGTCAATCTCGCGAAATAATAGCCAATGTTATAGAGTTTATGAGAAGAGAAGGAAACTTTAATTCACCTTCAATACCATTTAAAAATGTAAATGATCGTGTTGCTGCAGCCACAGGAGTATCTAAAAACACTGTCGTCCGCATTTCTGGAGAGAAAAAAAGAATCGATAACCGTGAGATATCGGAATTTTCATCACCAAGAAAAACCATTAAAAAACCAAAAACAGTTAATGATATAGATGAAGCTAACAAAGGTATTTTAAAAAGAATTATTCTGTTCATGTTAATCTCGGAAAATATTGTTCCAACATTAAAAACAATTCTGACTAAATTTAGAGAAGCTACAGGGTACAAAGGAAGCTATGAAAGTTTAAGAAAAATAATAAAGTCGCTAGGATTTCGTTGGCGGAAAACAAAAACAAACAGAAAAATATTAATGGAAAGGTTTGATATTCAAAAGCTTCGTTTAGACTATCTGATTCGTTTAAAAAGTTATCGAGCAGAGGGCCGTCCAATTGTCTACTTAGATGAAACATACATTCATGCCTCCCACACACACCAGAAAGCTTGGAGTGATAATTCAAATGAGGGATTAAAGAAACCAATTAATAAAGGTGATAGACTAATTATTGTCCATGCAGGAGGTGAAATGGGCTTTATTCCGAATGCCCGAATAATTTTCAAATCTGGAACCAAAAGTGGAGACTACCACGATGAAATGAATTTTAATAATTTTTCTAAATGGTTGAAAGAAAAGCTGTTTCCGAACCTCCCTCCAAGAAGCGTCATTATTGTTGATAATGCTCCTTACCATAATGTCCAGGTAAATAAAGCACCAACGTCAACTTCTAAAAAAGCTGACATGCAGGATTGGTTAAGGAATCATAATATTGCTTACATTAGTGTGGGCATCATTGAAACAATATGTAGCTAGTAACAACACTACATTTAAGAGGCAAGACGTACAACTGTTGTGTGAAGACTTTTTTGATACGTTTTCTAAAGAGGAGTGGCAATCTCGTTGTAATAATGCTAAAATGTGGGAATCTAAATTTTATGACAGAGAAGTTACTTTGGATGAGGCAACTGATAGATTTATAATTAACTTAAACAGTGACAGTGAGACTGATTTTGAATCTGATATGGAAACTAAAGAAAGTTTTTCGGAAGACCATTAAAATTATATCTGTACCTAAGATCAAAAAAGTATTATCTATTTTTACAACGAAGATGCACAAGAATCAAATTTTATTTTTTTATTATTAGATAGCTATTTTTGTTTCTGAGTTGTTTTCATTTACAGGCTCAATTTTTTTCCGTTTCTCCTTTTTGATTTTATATGGGGTTTCAAGTTGTTTTTGACTTATTTCGACGTAAATCACAACAACACACTTTTTTAATAAAGCAAACAAGTGTTAAGAGGTATATGTACGTGTAAACTACAATTACAAAAAATTGATATGAAACCCATGAAACCACCAACAAAAATGTAAAGCTAGCTTCCGTACTAGAACATGGTGTCATTCGTCGAGATAATTTATCGTTTTGTTTAATAGATCAAGAAATGTAAATATTCCCCTGTTATTTTTTATAAAATTATAAGAGAAATAAATTTTTTTCTAAATAGTATAGTTTATTATTTTGTAGAAAAACAAAATTTCGAAAATTTTAGTAATGTTTCAGAAACAACCGTTATTAATAATAGGTACCATTTTCCTTAATAAGGTAGAAATAAAATATAAACTATTTCCACGATTTACAAAGGCCTACAAAAAAATTATAGGTATTTTCCGCTATCCTATAAAATTTATATTTTCTGACTCAATTTCAAAAGGTTGAAGGAATTCCAAAACACCTTTTATGGCATAATAATTATTTTCAATTCTACATACTATCTTTAGCTGCTTTTAAAAACGTTCTAAGAAAGTCCAATCAGACCAATTTAATCCCTAAACTATTCCACACTTTTAAAATTTAATTACCTAAAAATATTAAAAACTATTTAAAATAACTTGTTTAGCAGACTGTACAATAGCTATCTTAGTCACACGTAGCGCGTTCTCTGTCTGGGCGTCGAACACCTCTAGAAATTTGATGAACTGTATATTATGTATGTTATGTATTACAGTATATCTACTCAAAATTGCGCAACAAGTGTTAAATCACTTAACGTGATCCAATTTATTCATTTCTCTTTTTTTTTTTCTGTATCAAATGTGTTTTATAGGTAATTTATTATTATTATTATTATTATTATTATTATTATTATTATTATTATTATTATTATTATTATTATTATTATTATTATTATTATTATTATTATTATTATTATTATTATTATTATTATTATTATTATTATTATTATTATTATTATTATTATTATTATTATTATTATTATTATTATTATTATTATTATTATTATTATTATTATTATTATTACCGTATTCAATTATGGGAATGTGCCAGAGATACCAACTTTAACTCTAACCAAACATTGCAAGACAAAGTATTGCGTAACACAGTGAAGGCTGCCTGGTATGTGCGTAATGCAGATTTTCATGGAGATCTTGGAATTTCAGTAGTAAAAAAGGATATCAAAAGATTTGTTGGAAACCCTGAAACCAGACTTCATCATCATAGCAATTCAGAAGCTATTCAGCTGCTGGACAATCAGGACCATGTCCGATGATTGAAGAGTACCCAAGCCATTTGATCTCGTTTAGTGTGTTGTGTATGTGTGAAATCAAAGCATAGTGCACTAGTGACTTATATATAGTAATCAGAACACTCTAATGAAGATCGACTTTAATACTTAGGGACCAGTTATAATGGTAAGATAAGTTGTTAAATTAAAAAATCTCCATATTGACTTTAGAACTTGTTTATAAACCAGTACTTTGTTCTGACTGGAAAGTGGATAGTGTCTTCATATAAACCAATAAATATTTCTGTATTTAATCTTCAGTTGTTTAGTTTTTATTTTTACACGCTCCTTCCATTTTAGTTATTTATTTATTTTAGTTAGTATGGTAATACACATGTAGACCATGTATTTTATTTGGAATAATATTGCTGTTTGAGTTTATTGGTATTTAATCTATTCTTCTATTGGCTCAGTTAAAGAAAGAAGATTTTCATTCATTGATATTTGTGCGCCACCAGATTTGTATGCTATTGTGTTGAAGATTAGCCTCTATTTCTTTGATTATTAATCCTTCAGTTAAGACAGCTCTATCATCAGAAAAATTTAGCCAATTTGACATTTTTTTTATCTCTGGAATGTCATATGTATAATAAATATAATAATACTCCAAGAATATTTCCCTGAGGAATGCCAGTTTAATTATATTGACTTGAGTTCAGAGTATTCGTTTCCAATTTTAAACGTTCACTGTTGCAAATATAATGCTAGTAATTGGACATATTGTATCCGTTTATTTTAAGTAGTAGGTCTGATTCCACATTTTTTTTTAAGATATCAAGAAATACTGCGTAGCAATTTTTTTTCTATTCTATTAAATAAAATAGTTTAACTTATTTTTTATTCACTTTTAGGCAGCGTCCTCAATGCTCAAGGTGAAAAATATTGGGATGGTATGGGCGGTGATGGTGGAGTAAGGAAACCCAAATTTTTTGAAATATCAACCACAGGAGGTTCCGTTTTTAGAAACATATATCTGCTAAACTGTGCACATTTTTGCGTGGGAGTTAGTGCAACTGATGTTCACATTTATGGATTTACTATTGATGTTGTTGCTGGAAATTTGGTGAGTAAAAAATTTAAAGAATATCTATTAACGAAAATTGGCTTGACAATACTAGGTATTCCAGTTGATTCTGTAGTAACTAGTTAACATTATTTTTTTACTAAATCATGATTTTTCCAATGGTAGAATGGTGGTCTAAATACTGACGGCTTTGGCGTCTCGAATTCCCACAACGTCCTCATAGAAAACTCAGTTGTGATGAATCAAGACGATTGTGTAGTTGTTAACTTTGGATCTAATATGGTATTCAGAAACTTGCAATGTTATGGTTCACATGGTTTAAGTTTTTCACTTGGTAGCAGTCATACAGATGATGATAACGCTGTAACCCAAAATATTACTTTTGAGGATTGTATAGTTGCTAATGGGCTTTATGGGATCCATTTAAAAACAAAGAGAGGAACAGGACTGCTTAGAGATGTTATCTACAAAAATATTAGATTATCAGGTGAGTTATTTTAATCCAGACAAAAGTTAGGACCTACCTGTAGTTTTAGGATATGTGTTTTAACAATATCAAAATTCTAAAAGTAAATTTGGTCGAATTATTACTTTTTAGGAATAACAGAAGACGGAATTTACATAAACCAAGATTATGGGGATATTGGAAACACTGCTCGACCATATCAAATATCTAACTTGAAGATATCTAATGTGTATGGATCAGTAAATGGACAGCTTGCAAGACCTGTTCATGTAGTCTGCAATAAAGATGCCTGTTCCGATTGGACTTGGTCAAATATTAATATTTTAGGTACAGGAAAAAGTTACTGTAATTATTTACCGTCAGGATTTGTTTGTTAATTTTTTAAATAAAGGAATAATTTTTTTTTTTGAGAATTGTCATCTAAACGTAGTTTTTTTGCCACAGATTTTTGTAAACCGAATAATTATTTATTTATAATTTAATATTTTCTTTGATTAAAAATTCAATAATTAAGTTACATATTTTCTCATCAAATGAACTTAATAAAATAGAAATACTTGATGGAAAAAGGATATTTAAGGAAGAAATTTTTTTTTAAAAAATCTGAACGATGAGAATTATGGTGGCTACAAGAAAAAATGAGGTGGTTGATATCAGCAAAAGAAGAGTTGTCGCATTGACAGAAAGGTGATATAGGAAAGGTGTGACGGAAAACTCCCATTATTTAGTTTCATCCTTGTTAAAGTCGTACAATAATACCTAGACATTTTAAAATTTGTAATGTGGGGAATAGATTTTGGAAGAACATGGTGAATAAATGTATATGGGTTATTTGAATGAGAAACAAAGTGTTCCCAAAGTTTCTCCCAGCTTGATCTAACATTTCGTTTCATTGCATGAATAATATCCTGCGGAGAATGAATATTACTAATAATTGGAAGAAGAATGGATTCTTTAGCAGCTAACTCGACTTTTTTATTTCCAACTATTCCTTTATGACTTTTAACTCAGATGAAAACGATCTTGATTTAAGAATTTTGAAGAGAAAAGAGAGACTGAATAATTTCTCTTATAATAGGATTTTTGTTAATATTGCAGGAATAGTTATAAATTGATAGTAAAACAGATTTCGAGTCTGAAAGAATAACCGATTTGCTTTCTCCATAGCTTGTTATCCAAATGAGTGCTTGTAAAATTGCAAAAGTCTCCGCTGTATAAACAGATGAATAATTTGGTAAACAAAATTGGAAAATAAAGTTTTCATTTTCCACATAAAAAGCGCATCCTGTACCTTTTTTTCCTTCGCAAAAAATAGTATTAACTGTATCTAGAATTCCCACTACCGATTTTATGATTATATTATTAATTTTTGGGAAAGAAGTAAACTCAGGGAATAAGATTGTTGGCTTGAACAATAAGAAGAAAAAATTAAACTGGTATATAGGAAGAATATCGTAACACTCAATTTTATTTATGAACTGGTTTAAAGATACACAGGCTTCAGCCAAAGGTGGACTATTTGTTACGGGTTCTAATTAATTAGCATATTTATTTTGTACACCATTATAATCGAGTTATTTACTGCCTTCATGATGACTATTTAAAGCGATAATTAAAAATGCATCACTTACTTCTATAGTTAATAAAACACAATAGCAACCACTTAAATAGTTAATGGAATGATACCATTTTATTATTGTTATTCCACGACCTTCTCTCCGACGTTAATTTAAAGTAAATTTTAAAGCTAGTCAACTGTTAGGAGCAATATTACACTTATCATTAGCTCCTAACATATTTTTAAATTTCCAATATTTGTTGGTTAGGTTTTCAATATTCATCGGATGTAAGATCTATAAAACATTAACGACGTTGTTGTGTCTGCACCCCATTTAAATTTTGTGACATATTTAAGAATATTAATGCCTCTTTCACATTTGGATAAAGCATAATCAATATGTTTTTTCTAAGACAATTCATAAGTATTTGAAGGAACTTACTATTGGAAGAGATATTGAATTAAACTTAATGACTTCTCCTGTTATCAGCCTGTGACTGGTATAAACCATCACAGCTGATTTATTTGCAGCCAAACAGAAACCATGATCAAATAACCAGCTTGTAAGGCAATATATGACATATTTAAGATCTACAACACAATAGTAATAAGACTTAAATACATACATCATCCGCGTACTGAATACATTTAACCGGTTGATCGAAGATCTCATGCAAGCTGGCCGTGTAAATATTGAAAAGAAAGGGACTCAAATCGGATCCTTGAGAAATACCCTGGTTAAAAAACAACAAATTGGCAATAGGTACGAAATTGAGAGATAATTTCATTGCCTACAAAAATGACTTGAATGTTTATTGTCGTATCTCCAATAGTTTAAAAGTTATATCAACTTTTAAGTCAACAAAATGGATCAGCTGCTGCAACGTTGATAGTACGTATATTTTTTAAGTTTAATAAAAAATGGAATAAAATTTTTTCCGTAATTTTAATGCCTAAGTCGTTTTTGGAATTTTTATTTCTTTCAGGAAAAAAATAAACCAAAGTTGGGAATTTGTTTATAACAAATTGTTAACTTAATAAACAATGGAATTATTAATAAAAAAAAATTTTTGCTGTCACTTTGTAGAGGACTGTCAATTATGATTTTGAAAAAAAAAACACATTTCTTAACTAATAATTTAAACAATAGATATATTAAAAACGATTATAAACAATTAAAAGTTATTAAGAAAAAAATTTTTTTTAAAAACCATAATTGGCAATTGTCCAGAAAGTTGTAAAAAAAAATTGTTTATAAAAAATTTATAAACAAATGGAAGAAAAAAAATTTTTTTTTAATTAATAAATTTCTTTTCTCGACATTAAAACAGTATTATAATAAATTGAAAAAAAAAAATTTTTTTATAGCACCACTGTGACTTATCTGTTTTTGTAAACTTTAAAAAATTACTATAAACAAAGTATTAACATTTTTTAAACTTTTATGAAGCTATTTTGTTTTATATGTATATAATTAACAATAATCTACTTTGTTGGAAAATTAATTTTTATGAAAAACTAAGTGTTTAGAATACACCGTAATTTTTTTAAATTTTTGAATTTATATTTATTAACTTAAAAAAATTATTTTATGTAACGTACTCGGTTTCGACGCCGTGCGCGCAACCTAAAAATGGCGCGCGGAAGGCTACTTTGAGCGTTAAATTAAAATTATAAATAATGGACTTACAGTTCCGGGAGTCGGAACTTATTTATAGCAAATTTCCTCCTCTTTAAGGATCTTTTTTGAAAAATCCAAAAATATTTATAGTTTACAAACTATAGGCGAAAAACCAAACACCATGTTTTTGAGGTGTTTAATTGTTTATAACTTTTGCAATTTTTTATGCACTGCAAAATTTTTCTTCACACATTGATCTAGACATTATTCCGAATCGAATGAGCTATTGAACATAATTTTCGTAATAGTATGTCCCAAAAACACGCTTTTGAACTTGTTGATTAGACTATAGTGTTTCGGGAGGGTTTATTCAGATTTTATAAACATTATTTATTGATCAAATCTTAATAAAATATACACGTTTAATAGGTCTTCTGAATCAAAATTAAATTTGAGCACAATTTTTAATATATACAGAGAGTATTTAAATTCGAGAGACGCTAAAATGGTGGTTTCCACCTTATCGAGACTGAGGCCCACAAGGGTAAACTTGTAGCGTAAAAAAAACGAGAAATGAATTAACTTGGAACGAAATACCGAAAGCGGATTAGCACGTTGAATTTTTTGGTTTGTGAAGCATTGGCATTACTTGAGTTAAACCATGTGATGATTTTCACAAGCCTTGATTTTTAAAACCATTCTATATCGCCTTTTGATTAGGGTTTAAAAAGCAATTTATCCAATAATAATTGGCTCCTTTACCTCTTAAGCCTGCTCATGTAAAATATTTGGGCTTCTTACTTCGCCTATTTATATTCTATTAATAAAGGACAGAAGGATGAGTATTGCAACTATGTTAAAAGAAATAAATTGGCTTTCAGTTCAGAATTATGTTCAGTACATGACTGATATTTATTTATAAAATAAAAATGACATACCATCGCATCAGATCTATTAGAAAAAATTCAATATAATTCGCAATATCACAACTATAATACAAGAAACCAATCTGACTTTCATGTACGGCAAGCCATCACTAAAAGTTCCCAAAATACAATTTTTATTAAAGGTTTAAAAAAATTTAATAGACTGCCTACAGAAATTAAAAAAAAAACAATAAATGTATTCAAAAGTAACCTCAAACAATACTTGATAAATAAACAGAACGGATATACTTTCTTGTGATAATACTCTTTAAACCTGCCCTTTTTAAGTAGTATTTCCCTTAATTTATTGTTATTTTACCCCTCGTTTTACCCGCATTTATTATAAATTATTTATTTTGAGATCATGTACCTACTTTATTTTAAAAAATTACTTGATGTTATATTAATACTACTTACTATGTTTAAATTATTAATAGTTTTGCGACAATAGGTTATAGAAACTTATAGCCACAAAACTATTTTTGTGTTAAAGTAGATCCATAGAGAGCAATTTAATTTACAAAGGCCTTCTTTCAACATACAAATAAATGACAACTTTATAATTAAAATGAAAAACACAACAAAATACCTAGTTGAAATGGGCATTATATCCTACCTCTCTTTTATGTAATAAAAAAGTGCTTTGTATAAGAACATTATATTATCTGTCTTGCTGTACTTTTATTTATGGAAAGCCTGAATTGAGATATTTATTATTTGCAATAAATATCAAAAGAAGTATACATTTTTAAATAATTTTACATTTAAGAGCCATTCACATATCACAGTTGACATCTTGATACTTGACAGGCACAGCCAAGCATTATTTTGATTTTTGCCAAATAAAATAGCCGGTTAATTATTCTATGGGGTTGCGACAGAGAAATTTGATAGTGTTTTTGTGGCTAGGGGCGAAATAGTAGATCGCTTAATAATAATAATAATAATAATAATAATAATAATAATAATAATAATACTCTCCCTAATCCACCCCCTTACGAGTGAATTTTAACCCCAAAAGCTGAGCTTGTGCGGGGAAAGGGACGGCTATTATTATTATTTGCCGCGGCGCTCCGGGGCGACTTAAAGATGATTGATGGTGGCATTTAACTTACAGGTGAGGAAAACCCGGAAAACATCACCCACCATCATCGAGGCGGTAATGTATGGCGACTTTTTTTTAATCTGCATGTCATATTAGCAGAAATTGAATTTCTATTAATACGGCACACATCAAATCCTATACCGAACCATGAAATTTAATTAAAAATCCACATGGTCTGGTCTGGGATTTGAAGCCCAGCAGTCTCTGACACATAAACTTGCTTATAAATGAATATAAGCGCGTTAGACCGCTACACCACCGACCCGATTACCACCACCATAAAAAGTCATTTTTAAGAAACTGCTTGTATATTTTTCATAAATTGGCAGGCTTGGCGACTAATTTCGAATGAAAATAACCTCCAAAATGGCTATATGGTCGCAATTCGCCTTTACTAGAGAATGTTTGCAATTTATGGAATGTGAAGACTGTTAGGAATTTTGACGTCAGAAATAATTGAAATTCCTAAAATTGTTGACATAAGGAATGCATAGGCGGATTTTAAGAAAATTGTTATTAAAGTAGTTAGGATGAACCGAAATTTCTGAAAATCAATAGGATTCTAAGTTAGAAGTAATTATTCAAGAAAATCAAAACCGCAAGTCAATCAGAACTTTCGTTTTAGAGTTATCGTGCCGGCATACATACATACAGACGACCAGACGAAATTTTCTTTTTTTTTATATTCGAATTCAGAATGATCAGAAACATGAAAGAAAGAAAAATGGGGGTCAGAAAATTTTTTCGTCTGTACGAATGTAATACTGAGGCCCCATAGGAAGGGCCTCAGTAATAACCGTTCTGTAACATAGCAGCCCAAATTGGATAAACAGTTTTGTTAGCATTTGAAACAACGACGAAACACTAGTAGACTAACGGCCGTTTGCACAGACGTATTTAAGGATTACTTAAAGTTAAGTAGGATTTAAGTGACATACTTTCATTGCACCGTCAGTTAAGGAGTCCTTTTGAAACACTCGAACTATTCTTAATAAAACCGTCAAATTTTGAGACTTGAACATTCTTTACCTACTTTCACAGTGACATTTTTTATAATTATAACAAAAATATGGACCACGAGGATAATTTTATATGAACAGGAAATAATTGAAATTGCTGATTTTGGGTTTTCAAGCCAGTTGTATAATAGAATTATTTCGACGAAATGGATAATTTGACCTTCCTTAAAAGGTTTAGATTGTATAAAAAAACGGTAATGCAAGTTCTGGAACAAATTGAAAATATCACAGATTATTTTATTTTATTTGAATAATATGAGTTTTTTGTTTTTAATTATTTTGTTCAATCTATTTCGACATTCTATATATTCTTGTTTTTTCCAATCAGTTGGATTTCTCAAGAGAGATTTTTTGAGATCCACTACCACTACCGGTAAACGTAAAAGTTACACAGAGAGGGTTAACACTTTATAGTTTTACCAAAGAAGCGAAACTGAATGAGTTTTCGTATGTACCAAAGCAAGGGAACTTAATACACTGGGAAACGTATACAAATTAATTAGTTTTTGTCGTTTGGTTCATAAGAATTAAACACATACTAAAGTAACAATGACAGAAAAATCTTACTATGTTCATTATGTCAAATATATAATTTTAAGTACTGTAGGAAACAGTTACTACACAATAGCGCAAGTTAATAACGGTCATTCTGCAAATAGGGAATTTTCAGAACAATTATGAAACAGTGGTCCATTCACTGTCTATCAATCTCAAGAAGACAGAAATAATCCCTTTTACGAGAAATTAATGAAAATGGAATTAGAACCTACAGATCTCCTAAACACGAAACAAAACTTTGCAACAGAGGTGAAGTATCTAGGTAACACCTTTGACAACAAGTTAACATGGAACTCAGAATTAGAAAACAGAGTCAAAAGAGCATACATTACTTATGCCACCAAACCGTGGGGCGCACCTGGGGTTTCTTTCCTAGAGTAGTCACATGGACTTACATGGCCATCATACGACCTATGCTAACGTTCGGTGCAGTTGTCTGGGGTACCGAAAATCCAAAAATTTACAGCTATCCGCAAAATAGAAAAAATTCGAATAACAGGAACTATAAAAACCACACCAACCAGAGCCAAGTCGTTCTTAGTCTCACTCCCCGTGATATTTACATTAAAGAGGTTGCTCTGATGACAATGACACGCCTATGCACGGTTGGAATAAAATCTGACGTACGATCTGGTGAGGCGAGTGAGGTGAGTCGTTTTTGGCAAAAGGCGCTCGATACGCTCCAACTGCTTCAAGCGAACATGAACCTTATCTCACCGAGTTATATCTTCCATAAGCCATATGAAGTTATAACAGAACAAATAGAAGAGCCAAAAGTGGCAGGTACGATACATATCTACACAGACGATTCTAAAACAAAACAATGCTTAGGGTGTGGACAATTCCTTAAACCTCAACATAAACTGCGCAATAGTGTCAATGTAGTTCAGGGAGCTCACGGAGGTTCTCATAGCAGCAAAAGAAATCGCTGATAGGAACATACTCATTCATACAGATAGCAGAAAAGCACTACTTACCCTGAACATATTACGAATTTACTCAGGGTTAGTATTAGAATGTCACGAAGCTTTGGCAAGGGTATCCATCCAAGATGGAGCAAAGGTGACCCACAAGGAAAGGTAGCCTTATTGCTGATTCACTAGTCAAGATGGCGGCCAACCAAATACTTTTTCGACCTGGCCCTTCTATTCGACTGACAACATCGGTAGTGACAAACCTAAATAAAGAATATTCTCTTGTAAAATTGAAGAAAAGATGGGATGAAACAAGAATCTGCTGAGTTACCAGGGATATTTTAAGTTATCCTGACAACACTACAATAAACAAATACTTGACTATGATTAGATAAAATCTGCGTCTAATCACAGGTATTCTGACTAGTCATTGCCAAGTACGGAAGCATCTCCATATCATGGGACTGTCAGGATTCGCACCCTGCAGGGAGTGCAAACAAAAAGATGAAACCATTGAACATATCCTCTACAATTACTAGTTGCTCTCATTTATTAGACGATTTGTTTTTGGCGAGTATTGACTAACACTGGCTGGAGGTGCCTATAATTTTCTGAGGGCACACAATGGGCGTAGTGAGGCCTAAGTGCCGTGGGGTAACCCACCCTCTACACGTTACATATCCAGAAGAACTGTAGGTAGCTGTAAATGCATTTCGATTGCATCCTGATAGCAGTGACTTGGTTTCTCGAAGTGAGATTGTCATATCTTTTAATTATTGTTTCGTATTATTGTTTATTTACTGTTTTAATTTGAATGGTTTGAAAAACAAAAAAAATAACATATTTAAATAAAAGATTAAGAAATTAAACGATGCATAATACGTAGGCGTAAATTATCATTATAGGTAATACTGATTAAGAAATTAAAACAAAACATTGACAGCCAGATGCAAGAACGTTCAATAAAATTTACGAATGACGCAATGTATTTTTTTCTTGTAATTTAAATTTTAAAACTATCTAATTTCTAATTATTATAGTTATTATTATACGGCAATTTTCACAAACCGCCGACAATAATATACCAAACGTTGCTCTAGTTGCTCTACATAAATTGACAGCTATATTTGACGTTAAACCACCTCTAAAACACTGAGAATACTTTAGTTTAGTTTTTTTCACGATGAAAGACGTCATTCACATGTTATTTTATTTTTCTAAATATAGTATGGGTTAACTTTTTCTTCTTTTTCTTTATTTATTATCAATATATCAAAATTTTGATACAATTTACTGGTTTTCGATTAAGAACAAGACCACTTACCGATGAGAAAAATAACTAAACTTCCTTTGGTAAGGCGGCCTAAAATGTAGTTGGTGCAAATTACTTAATTTTAGGGATTCCTTAAATATTTAAGGAACCTTAAGTAAGGAATCTTAAATAAAAAGTCGGTGCAAATGGCCGTAAACCATTCATTCAAAATTAGGCCCTTATTTATTTATTTCTTTCTTTCATTCAGATTATTTTTTATAAAACTCAGACTGAGCTGTCGCATCGGCTGCCGCTTTACCTACTTTCAGAATTGTCTGCATAACGGAATGACAACTCTTTTAGGACAGGTGTCAGCGACAATTTTATACATGCCTTTACAATGTTAAATAAATCAAGCCTTATTCCTTATATATGCTTCCGACTATGATAACAAAACCTCACCTGTTAAATAACAACATAACATTCCTATTACAAATAGTTTGGCACACTACACATTTCCTCACCATCTCAAATGTCCTTATTAAACAGTTTAATATTTAAATTATTCTCGAAAACCTCAAAAACTACAAAAAAGCACAATTAAAATTAAGCTGTCATTTGACACCGTCAACAAAATGTCTTAGGTTGCCAAACTTAAAGGTTATGAACCAGAATGTTCATACGATACACGTGTAAAAGATCTTAAGTGACTATAATAAATAAAAACTCATATTTATGCTTTTACGAATAGTAATTCATTTTTCTTTTTATAATATATTAAAGGGAAGAGTAAATATTTTATTGAAAATTTAATGCAGGACATTTGTTGGAAGACATCCGACAACATAGAAAGAGCATACTGTCAGTAAGATGTTGCGGGCAAATACAATGTAAACAAGGCGTATCTATTATCCGGTATCGTTAATTTTACCCGACTATCCTGTTTTATCCAACTCTCCTCTACTTTACTGTGAAATAAGTTAAATCCATCACCTTTTTTTTTAATATCGGTTAATAAAATAAATAATGACGCAATATATAAAAGTATGATATTTTTATTACTAAAAGTCAACAAGAAAACCCTAAAGGTAAATAATTACAATAGCTTCTTCCTGTTCCTATGATATTAATATCAGACCAATTCCAATCAGAGCAAGTATCCTCATTACAAACTATATGAACGGGTCTAGCAAGGTTTCCATTTATAGATCCGTATACGTTAGAAATCTTCAAATTTTTTATTTTAAAAGGGCGTCTTATGTTTCCTATGTCCATGTAATCTTGATTTATGTAAATGCCATCTTCCGTGATTCCTGGAAGTTTAAAATAAATACAAAATTACTTACATGCCAAAATCATCAATCTTTATAGCAAAAAATTTGATGTGCTGACAACGAAATCTTCTAGAGCGATCCAGAAATGGTGAATTGGTCATTAAAAGATTTTACCAGCAACCTATAAATATTTACAGCCGTATGCATAGTCGATCGCCAGCGACTCGCCAGCGATTCGCTGGCGATCCGCCGGCGAAAGCCCAAAAAGCTGGCGACTCGCCGGAGATTGTCACCGGAATGTCATTTCACGCAAGTTTTCATGTTCTTTTATAGGGAAAAATTTGATATTCGTTCATTATTTTTTGAGTTTTAAGAAATGAATCATGAATAAAATGCGAGAGATACCGGTGATAATCCCTATAAAAGAAAATAAAAACTTGCGTGAAATGACATTCCGGTGACAATCTCCGGCGAGACGCCACCTTTTTGGGCTTTCGCCGGCGGATCGCCAGCGAAACGCCGGAATGAATCTCTGGCGAGTCGCTGGCGATCGACTATGCATACGGCTGTTAGTCTTATACCTTTACGGTTGGCAAAACAATGGTTTTTTCTTAGATTGCTTGATATGGAACAACTGCTTTTATTAGAAGCACAGTTTATTGCTAAAGAATCAGTTAGCTCACTCGGAACAGTTGGACGTTCCAAAATAAAATCCACTACAGGGATACAAATTCTGGATGCGTAGAAGAATGATGTTTGAATATAGGCGGTTGTCATACATTGTATTGGTTATGATTTGATTCTGTATGCGCCAGGGATTTAAATCCGAGTTGCGCAGTGTATAAACTGGAACATTGAGTTCAAAAGTGCCGACACAGAGTGAGCGAACTGATTCTTTAGATAAAAACTGTGTCAGAAGTGTGATAAGTACTTTTGGGTTAGCTATTTATTCACTTAGAAGCTATACTTAATTTTTAAACTAGAAGGAGAAACTACAGCATCCACGCCAATGGTAGATTTTTACTTAGACTAGGTATAAAGAGAGGACTCGTAACGTCGCAGGAAATCGGTGTTCCATTGACACCAACGCTATTTGACTAGAGGTAAAACTTGTTGGAAATAAAACAATGAACTTTTATTTATGTTATTAGTACTTTATTGATCTTTTTAGGAATAAAGCAAGTTCAACGTGTAGTAAAAATTAAAATAAATGAGAAACAATAAATAAGACACAAGAAAAATATACATACAAGGTGAGCCACGCTCAACGGAACGAAGCCTTACAAATATACAACTCAAATTAAAATTAGTTTTATATATACAGGGTGTTCTAAACTAGAATGCCAATATAAAGTTATATTTTTTTAAATGGGACGCCTTATATTTTTCTTTAAATTTTAAGTTCTACTCTTAAAAATAATTTTAATTTAAGATTTTATGTTCCCATCTTTGATAATTACCGATTTAGTGTGGTCGAAATTAATTAATTACTCTTGATTACAAAATAATTAATTAACGAATTTTTGGCAGTTCCTTACAAAATGTTGTAACTTTTTACCAGAATCAATAAAATATTTAAAAAATAAAAGTGGTGTTTGCAATTTGAAGTCTTATTACAGTAAAATGTTTAATTTGATTACTGCATTAATTTAAACGAAACACCCCGGTATTTTATGGTACCAATATGAAGGAAGTTTTATTTACGTTAAAAGTTCTATAAGGTGCCCTATACCCATATCTACTATTTTTAAAACTATTATCAATAGTTTAAATGATCGGGGTGGGTGGCTTAGTGGTAGAGTCTCTGCCTGCGGATCCACGGGTCCCGGGTTCGAATCCCATCGTTGGCCGGGATTTTTTTCATTTAATTTAATTATTTAAAATTAATTCTGATGCCTTGGTAGGATTTCCTACTTGACCATTAACTGTTGGGTTCTAATTAACAGTGCTGTTCCCAAAGTGACGCTGGGAAACAGTAACAAAACCTACATAGCACACGAGGCGAAATAACCATAGTAGTTAAAGCCGATGACACACAAAAAAAATAGTTTCAATTATTCAATAAATTTCAAATCTGCTAATAGTTATTTTAACAGAGCTATTAAATAATCATATTTATTCCAAAATTTGTCAGTAAAGGACCCCGCAATAATCTTATGGAAATTGGGTTTTTGTCAAATTGTCTGAATTTTTGATATGTAGTAGATTTTGTCATCCTGAACAAAAGTCTCCATGGGCACAAAGTGCCAAAATGAATTTTTGGCAGCTACGGAGCTGTCAAAGCTCCCCTGACCCGTTGCAAAACTATTCATTTTCAATACTATTTATAGATGTTAAAAGCATATTTTAATTATTCTAATGTATAGGGTAATGTTTTTGAGGACACTGGATTTAACCCTCAAGTCAGATTGGACAAATTGACCGTTGATAGCTGTCAATACACTGTCAACGAAGAATAGAAAAGTAAATATTCTCTGTTGACATTGAGAGTTTAGGCTTTTGAAGGAGCTGAATTCAATTCTACTATCAGATTGGAAAAAGTGACAGTTGACAGCTGTCAATTTGTCCAATCTGACATGTTAATTGAATTCAGCGACCTCAAGAACACAAACTCTCAATGTGAAAAGAAGATATTTTCTTCTTTATTCTACTTTGACAGTGAATTGACAGCTGTCAACTGTTAGTTTTTTCAATCTGGCATGAGAATTGAATTCAGCGACCTCAAGAACCCAAACTCTCAGTGTCAACAGAGAATATTTACTTCTCTATTCTTCGTTGACAGTGAATTGACAGCTGTCAACTGTCAATTTGTCCAATCTGATTTGAGAATTAAATTCAGCGACCTCAAGAACCCAAACTCTCAGTGTGAACAGAGTATTTACTTCTCTATTCTTTGTTGAGAGTGAATTGACAGCTGTCAACTGTCAATTTGTCCAATCTGACATGAGAATTAAATTCAGCGACCTCAAAAACACAAACTATCAATGTGAAGAGGATATTTACTTTTATATTTCTCGTTGACCGTGAATTGACAGCTGTAAACGGTCAATTTGTCCAATCTGACATGAGAATTAAATTCAGCGAATTTAAAAACCCAAACTCTCAATGAGAAAAGAGGATATTTACTTTCATATTCCTCGTTGACAGTCAGTTGACAGGCGTCAACTGTCAATTTATCCAATCTGACATGAGAATTGAATTCAGCGACCTCAAAAACCCAAACTCTCAATGTGAAAAGAGGATATTTACTTTTATATTCCTCGTTGACAGTGAATTGACAGCTGTCAACGGTCAATTTGTCCAATCTGACATGAGGATTGAATCCAGTGACCTCAAAAACATTACCCTATATATGAGAATAATTAAAATATGTTTTTGACATCTGTAAATAGTATTGAAAATGAATAGTTCTGCAACGGGTCAGGGGAGCTTTGGCAGCTCCGTAGCTGCCAATATATTTAATTTGGCACTTTGTGCCCATGGAGACTTTTCTTCAGGATGACAAAGTCTACAACATATCAAAAATTCAGACAATTTTACAGAAACCCAGTTTTCATAAGATTATTGCGGGGTCCTTTAAAATGTTTATTTTCGGTGCTGTAATATTGAAAATAATGTCTAATTATAAAATCGTTATTATGGAAAGTAGACTCAAATAGTATTTGATAAAAATTAATATTTAGAATTATACGACACGCCACTGGAAAAAATTGTTTATTTTTGGCATTTTTAATATGATTAATTGCTTAAAAATTAATGAAAATCATATAATCAACAAACTTGGCGTGTAACATTTATTACTCTGGAGTGACACATATACAATATATAAATACCAAGCTGTAAAATAACCAAATAAAAAATATATATACTAGCTGACTCTATTCTGCTTCGCTGGAATTTCTCAAATCTCAATTATTAAAAGTGAATAACAGTTTTTGTTACTCGTGAGAAATTTTTTCATGCGATACTTGAAAAAAAAATTATTAATTTAATTTTTATTCGTTTTTATTCGTTTTTATTCGTTTTTATTCGTTTATATTCGTTTTTATTCGTTTTTATTCGTTTTTATTCGTTTTTATTCGTTTTTATTCGTTTTTATTCGTTTTATTAATTTTTATTAATTTTTATTAATTTTTATTCGTTTTTATTCGTTTTATTAATTTTTATTAATTTTTATTAATTTTTATTAATTTTTATTAATTTTTATTAATTTTTATTAATTTTTATTAATTTTTATTAATTTTTATTAATTTTTATTAATTTTTATTAATTTTTATTAATTTTTATTAATTTTTATTAATTTTTATTAATTTTTATTAATTTTTATTAATTTTTATTAATTTTTATTAATTTTTATTAATTTTTATTAATTTTTATTAATTTTTATTAATTTTTATTAATTTTTATTAATTTTTATTAATTTTTATTAATTTTTATTAATTTTTATTAATTTTTATTAATTTTTATTAATTTTTATTAATTTTTATTAATTTTTATTAATTTTTATTAATTTTTATTAATTTTTATTAATTTTTATTAATTTTTATTAATTTTTATTAATTTTTATTAATTTTTATTAATTTTTATTAATTTTTATTAATTTTTATTAATTTTTATTAATTTTTATTAATTTTTATTAATTTTTATTAATTTTTATTAATTTTTATTAATTTTTATTAATTTTTATTAATTTTTATTAATTTTTATTAATTTTTATTAATTTTTATTAATTTTTATTAATTTTTATTAATTTTTATTAATTTTTATTAATTTTTATTAATTTTTATTAATTTTTATTAATTTTTATTAATTTTTATTAATTTTTATTAATTTTTATTAATTTTTATTAATTTTTATTAATTTTTATTAATTTTTATTAATTTTTATTAATTTTTATTAATTTTTATTAATTTTTATTAATTTTTATTAATTTTTATTAATTTTTATTAATTTTTATTAATTTTTATTAATTTTTATTAATTTTTATTAATTTTTATTAATTTTTATTAATTTTTATTAATTTTTATTAATTTTTATTAATTTTTATTAATTTTTATTAATTTTTATTAATTTTTATTAATTTTTATTAATTTTTATTAATTTTTATTAATTTTTATTAATTTTTATTAATTTTTATTAATTTTTATTAATTTTTATTAATTTTTATTAATTTTTATTAATTTTTATTAATTTTTATTAATTTTTATTAATTTTTATTAATTTTTATTAATTTTTATTAATTTTTATTAATTTTTATTAATTTTTATTAATTTTTATTAATTTTTATTAATTTTTATTAATTTTTATTAATTTTTATTAATTTTTATTAATTTTTATTAATTTTTATTAATTTTTATTAATTTTTATTAATTTTTATTAATTTTTATTAATTTTTATTAATTTTTATTAATTTTTATTAATTTTTATTAATTTTTATTAATTTTTATTAATTTTTATTAATTTTTATTAATTTTTATTAATTTTTATTAATTTTTATTAATTTTTATTAATTTTTATTAATTTTTATTAATTTTTATTAATTTTTATTAATTTTTATTAATTTTTATTAATTTTTATTAATTTTTATTAATTTTTATTAATTTTTATTAATTTTTATTAATTTTTATTAATTTTTATTAATTTTTATTAATTTTTATTAATTTTTATTAATTTTTATTAATTTTTATTAATTTTTATTAATTTTTATTAATTTTTATTAATTTTTATTAATTTTTATTAATTTTTATTAATTTTTATTAATTTTTATTAATTTTTATTAATTTTTATTAATTTTTATTAATTTTTATTAATTTTTATTAATTTTTATTAATTTTTATTAATTTTTATTAATTTTTATTAATTTTTATTAATTTTTATTAATTTTTATTAATTTTTATTAATTTTTATTAATTTTTATTAATTTTTATTAATTTTTATTAATTTTTATTAATTTTTATTAATTTTTATTAATTTTTATTAATTTTTATTAATTTTTATTAATTTTTATTAATTTTTATTAATTTTTATTAATTTTTATTAATTTTTATTAATTTTTATTAATTTTTATTAATTTTTATTAATTTTTATTAATTTTTATTAATTTTTATTAATTTTTATTAATTTTTATTAATTTTTATTAATTTTTATTAATTTTTATTAATTTTTATTAATTTTTATTAATTTTTATTAATTTTTATTAATTTTTATTAATTTTTATTAATTTTTATTAATTTTTATTAATTTTTATTAATTTTTATTAATTTTTATTAATTTTTATTAATTTTTATTAATTTTTATTAATTTTTATTAATTTTTATTAATTTTTATTAATTTTTATTAATTTTTATTAATTTTTATTAATTTTTATTAATTTTTATTAATTTTTATTAATTTTTATTAATTTTTATTAATTTTTATTAATTTTTATTAATTTTTATTAATTTTTATTAATTTTTATTAATTTTTATTAATTTTTATTAATTTTTATTAATTTTTATTAATTTTTATTAATTTTTATTAATTTTTATTAATTTTTATTAATTTTTATTAATTTTTATTAATTTTTATTAATTTTTATTAATTTTTATTAATTTTTATTAATTTTTATTAATTTTTATTAATTTTTATTAATTTTTATTAATTTTTATTAATTTTTATTAATTTTTATTAATTTTTATTAATTTTTATTAATTTTTATTAATTTTTATTAATTTTTATTAATTTTTATTAATTTTTATTAATTTTTATTAATTTTTATTAATTTTTATTAATTTTTATTAATTTTTATTAATTTTTATTAATTTTTATTAATTTTTATTAATTTTTATTAATTTTTATTAATTTTTATTAATTTTTATTAATTTTTATTAATTTTTATTAATTTTTATTAATTTTTATTAATTTTTATTAATTTTTATTAATTTTTATTAATTTTTATTAATTTTTATTAATTTTTATTAATTTTTATTAATTTTTATTAATTTTTATTAATTTTTATTAATTTTTATTAATTTTTATTAATTTTTATTAATTTTTATTAATTTTTATTAATTTTTATTAATTTTTATTAATTTTTATTAATTTTTATTAATTTTTATTAATTTTTATTAATTTTTATTAATTTTTATTAATTTTTATTAATTTTTATTAATTTTTATTAATTTTTATTAATTTTTATTAATTTTTATTAATTTTTATTAATTTTTATTAATTTTTATTAATTTTTATTAATTTTTATTAATTTTTATTAATTTTTATTAATTTTTATTAATTTTTATTAATTTTTATTAATTTTTATTAATTTTTATTAATTTTTATTAATTTTTATTAATTTTTATTATTTTTTATTACTTTTTATTATTTTTATTAATTTTTATTAGTTTTTATTAATTTTATTTATTTTTATTTATTATTTATATTTATTTAATTTTTTATTTGTTTTTATTTTTTATTTGTTTATTATTTATTTATTTATTCCTCCCTCCTTAAAATGTGAAAATCCAAAAACCTTTAAATACGTCATTATATGAGTAGCTACAATTCCAACTTTCATGTTCCCACCTTTAAAAAATCGATACACTCATCCCTCTTTCCCCTTCCCTCTACTCCCCATTTTTTCACTTTACCCCTTTCCCTATTTCCTCTATTTCCCCCTTTCTCCAAACTTTCGCATTTATGTAGTGGTACGGTTTTTATGATACTTCCCATGCCCCCCTCCTTTAAATGCGAAAATCCAAAAACCTCGAAATACGTCATTATTTACATTTATGAGTAGCTGCAATTCCAATTTTCTAGTTCCTATATTTAAAAAGGCGCAAGTCTTCACCTTATACCGTCATCTATTAATAATTCATAGAACTAACCAATAAATACACAATATTTAGGCATTCCATACAAATGAAACGCGGTGCTAAGGTTTGGTATGTTTAAAGGGTTGCGACATACGATGTAGTCTATCTGCATTATATGAAATCATAAATAATGGATGAAATTTAAATATTTTATGTTGAACACAATGAAAATATTATTTTCAAAAAAACCGCTTATATATTTTCTATAAATTGGCAGGCTCGGCGACTATTATTTCAAATAAAAATAGCGTCCAAGATGGAAGGCTATTTCGCAACACCTTTAAATTTACTAACCCTTCCCGCTGTCAGGTATTGTTTGACAGGTCGTTGGAATGCCTAATTGTCGTATAATAAACATTTAATTTGCAATAACAAATATTGAGGTCAATAATTGAAATAAAAACTATCTTTTAAATTGGATCAAATTACAAATAGTTACCAAATTTTATTAAAATCCGTTCAGTAGTTTCGGAGTTTATCGTGAACATACATCGTGACACGAAATTTTTATATATATAAAGATTATAAATGATTGATGTTTATTATTTATCTATGAAATGTAATATCTGGTTATTTTTTCGTCGCTACGATTTTTATACTGATATGTAACACAATAAACTAACAAACTATTTATCAAATGTCGTTTAATTCAAAAATCAAAATAAACACGAGTAAAAAGATTTGGTTTCGCCGAAATGCTTAGCACCAAAATAATGGCGGCCTATCAATAATCTAAGGTTTTTAAACCAAATAAGGTTACCTTGTGTTTGGAGTAAGAACTAAAATGACAATTGACAAATAGGGGTAAATTATAATTGTAATTTTTCATATTAGTTATAAATAAAATTCTAAATCAATTCCACACAATTTATTTTATAAAATAAGAGATGGAACTAGGTCAAACCTATTATTTACAAAATAATGTCGACAGTGCCAAATTTGAATAATTAATTTGTTATAACGAAAATTTAACCCTACCAGAAAAATTATTGTAAATATTCAATAATAGAGGCTGAGGATAGTTGATTTTGTAAAAATAACCATTTTATAAGGAATAAATCAAAGATATAATTTAATACCTTCCAGAAATAAAATACTTTTTTTGTAATAATGAAACTTACCAGAAAGTTTAATATTTTCATAAGTAACATCAGTGACCAGTCCTCTTCCTCTTTTAGTTTTTAAATGGATACCGTAGAGTCCATTTGCCACCAAGCAATCTCTGAAAGTTACATTTTTAGTTATACCATTATCATTATCCATTGAACTGCTTCCCATCGAGAAACTTAATCCATGAGATCCATAACATTGCAAGTTTCTGAATGTCAGATTGTTACCAGAGGTGACTGCTACGCAATCATCTTGATTCATCACAACTGAATCTTCTATGATGACATTGTTGGCGTGTGAAATACCGAAGCCGTCCGTGTTTAAACCTCCATTCTGAAAAGTATAAATAAATGAGTAAGCTGTAACTTTCGTAAATTATGTGTATGTGTATGTAGAAACGAAGACTATACATGCATTATTGAAGTTACCTTAATATAATTAAATAAAGTTATCCAAGTATATAGTTAAAAAAAAAGATTTTGTTTATGGTGATAACTAGAAATTGCGTTTTATCAAAATCGACATACATAAGTCTATTATATCTTTTACATTAAATAAAATATCTACAAAACAGTAAGTTCAATAGGTGATGGGACCAAGTACATGTGCAGTCATTAAATAGATTTACAACCACAAAAGAGGTGAAAAAAATGGATTTTGTTAAGTACGGACTCTTTAGTATGCCATCAATGACTTCCAGGGCTCTTTCATGATAGTCCAGTATGTTTGTAAGTTTTATCTTCCATACTGGATAATCTGCTTCCCCAGATAACGGAAACCTCCCCATGATAGCCTTTGGAAATGATGTTCAATTTTTTTGGCCAAAGAAGGGCCCTTTCTTTGCCTAAAATTGGTACCAAACCAGACCAAAACAAATGGTTTACAAACCCTTGTAGGCGGTGTAGCTCGGGAGGTGGGCATTTTTCCAACACAGTCAAGTCGTCTTTTTCTCTGAACAAAGGAGGATTCACTGTACTGTTGGAGTATCTTGCAAGTTTTTTATTTTTTGGTCGTCTTTCAGATGTCCATATGTTTTCAAAACATCAGCAGAAGGCATAACATTCCTCTCTTCGGGATCGCGATATCTCAATTCATCCAAAGTCACAAAACAGTACGGACAAGGGTACGTAGAGGTGGCCGTTTGCTGTCCATTGACAATCAAAAGCAACTTAAAGTCTGCTACGAATTTGAATGGAACATTATTCAGCAGAGTCAAATCAAATAACACCTTCAGGTTTTCGTACGTTTCTTTGATTTTGGGAACTGTGGCTAACATGATAAGTTTTTGGACGCTGGTCCAATTCGCTCTTTTACCGACCATTCCGCCTTTAGCATACCTTGATCGTTTTCCTGGTATGTGATCTGCAAGATTACTGTCGTACGCTGGATCGTCGTTTGCTGGAAAAATTGTCATGGAAACCTTGAAAAACCCCTGTCCTCCATCAGCCATAATCTTTATTAAATAAAATCCTTCTAGCTTGCGCTTCTCAATAACAGACTCAATCAACTCCTCAGCATTCGCCCACCACTTGATCTTGGTGGTAAATATCCAAGAGAGTTCTTGAATTTTCTGTCATGTGTTTCGAATGATGAGACGGAACGGATTTTCTCCCAGCAACAGAACGAATGAAATTGGTGATTTTAGACATTTGTCTTAAAGAAGCTCCAGTGTTAACTCGTAAATTATTCAAACGTTCGGAAGAAAAAACTGGGTTATTTTTTTCGGGAGGGTTCACAAGTACGCGACAAGGACGCCCACCTGTTGTCAACTTCACTTCGATTTCTGGAGTATTCGTGGAGGTACTGGGAAGCGCGTCGATTTTCTTTCGGAGAATAGAGCTAGCGATTTGGTCTTGTTGTTTTTCTGGAAGACGCTGAATGGTTGAGAGCAAACTCCAACCAATTACTGAATAATTCAGGTTTATTTCAAAGGTGATAACAACATTATTTACGTTTTTTGTAAGAAGAAATTCATTTGTCGCAAACCATGAATTATTAAAAAAAATTAGAAAAATAATTAATATTTTATTTTTTATCTGCTTGAGTTGCAATCGTTTAACGATTTATTTGTAAACAAAACTTATTTGTAAACGAAACTTTTTTGCTTTTTTCCAGGGAACCAGATTCTGAAATAAAAAATCTATATTTCCATTTAAAAAAAAAGAGCTAACCTTGAAAAAACCTTCAAAAAGTTGTCAATGTAAAAAAAAATTCATCATTACATCTCCCCCGTAACGCCTAACAACTTTTATTTAAACTTTTTTTTTTAACTTTTTTGAGATATCGCGCTGTCTCAAGTTAAATGGATCACCCTGTATATGGAATACTGCATCGTCTTTCATTTTGTACTAGAACAAAAGCCAGCAAACCAGGTCAATGAATAAGCGCACAAGTTTGTGGACCATTTGGAGAGTATTTCGTTGAAGTAAATTTCGTTTTGGTTTTATTAAAAGGGAAAAATCAGAAGTGAAGAAGTGATTAATAAATTTAGCTAAATATACAGAAGCATCTTATACAAGAAATATTAACTGGTAACGGAGGAGAGTTTGATAATAAAGATTTTAGAGAAATTAATTCTGCATACGGAATAATTCTGATATTAACAGCACCCTACATCCCTGCAGAATGATATTAGTGAGAGATAAAACCGTACTATTATAGAAATGACTAGAACTTTCAAGTACTCAAATTCCTGAAGTCATTTGGGCAGAACACGTTAGCTCGGCTATCTACATCCTCAACAGAACTGCTAAGTCATCAGTAGAGGACAAAACTCCATATGAATTTTGGATGGGTAAGAAGCCAAGAATAATATGTTCTACTTGTTGTGCACATGTTCCAAATCAAAGAAGAAAAAAAAGCTATAAAGGGATATCTCATAGGTTATGACGGAGATGGAAGATACAGAATTTGGGTGAAAGAAAGTCACAAAGTAATTATGTCTAGAAATGTATAATTTTTAGAGAAGTTAGGAGATTGTGCCCAATAAACGTACGCTAAAAGATTTTCAGCCTTAAAGTAAAATTGAAAAAAATAATGGCAAAGATAGCGAAGTAGTAGAAGAGGATAGGGACGACAATTCTGAAGAACAAAATTTAGAATTTAAAACTATAGATAGTGAATACGAAGAAGAGCTAGAAAGCAATCAAGAAAATTATGACATCAGAGATCGATCAAAAGTAAGAAAACCAGTGAGATATGTGTGGCGACATCATAGCACCACATAGTCTTACCTTTAGTTTTGACTGTTACGTAAATTTATTTTAAGGTTTCGCTTTCAGTTCTGAATTAATTTTGAGCAGCATTTTTACTTTCCTATCTGTATACAGATATAAGGAAAGTATAGGAATCATGATTTTTTTCGACCTCGAGTTTTCGACGGATTTTTACGTTTTGAGGTCCCCTGAATCCGTTTTGACTATTTTCGCGATGATGTCTGCAGCTAAATTAAACAATATAAGATCTATTATAAGTATTGTAGCCAGCCAAAATATGAATCTTATTCAGTCTAATGTATCAACTGCATTTTTGTATGGAGAATTGGATGAAGTAATCTACATGAAGCAGCGAGAAGATTTCATAAATGATACAAAGTATGTAAACTAAAAAGGTTTGTATCGATTAAAGCAAGCTCCAAGATGATGAAACAGGCGTTTTTGTAGCTTTTTACAAAATTTAGGATTTAGAGTAAGTGAAGCAGATTTATGCTTGTATCAAAGAGTAAAAAATAAAAAGCTAATATTAGCTCTCTCTCTATGTTGATGACGGCCTAGAAATATTAAGTGAAGTTCAAGAATTAGACAATTATTTGGAATATTTTCTAAACTTGTTAATTAGAATATTATTATTCACATTTATTTGAAAGCAGTTAAATCAGAGAATAATAATATTGCTTTGTGACAACAAACTTACTAAATTGCCTGCATTCACGTCAAGGGTCCATCCGTACAAATGAGTGTCATTGGCAGCAACTCTAACACAAAAATGGGCACAGTTTAGTAAATATATATTTCTGAAAACAGATCCACCACTGGTAGCAATGTTAAAAAATTTTGGCTTAGTAACGCCACCGTTTCCTCCCATACCATCCCAGTACTTTTCACCTTGTGCGTTTAATATACTGCCTGGAATAAATAAGATGATGTTAAGTCCGATCAATACAGTCCGATTACAATACGAAGAACACGTCATAACCATTACTTCAAAGTTTAAATATGGATTATCTGTAGCTATCAATAAATAATGACTAAGTTGGTTGGCTTAAAAAATAATTCCCATGTTCCTATAATATTAATAACACGCTAGTAACCCCGGGTGGCAATGGCCAATGAGTGACTACGTCAAGTAGTGACGCAATTGTGTATTTTAATTGTAATCGAACCCTAATAGCATATTACATAATAAGTGTCGTAAAAAGCTTATTACGCATGAATAGACAACACGTCTTTATAAAGAAACAATAAATTTTAGTAAAAAAACTGGCTGAAACCAATTCGATTATTAATATTAAGAAATTCCGGGTGAGGCGATATGGCCATCATATTCACTATTGTTGCACAAAGTAGTATTATTTATTTTAACTGTTTTTGTACTAGTTATAACTTACCTGGTGCCCCTTCAACTAAGACATTGTTTCCAGTAACTTGCACAAGATGTCCTAACCAGTAAGCTACCTCAAATATGATGTTTCCTTCAAACAAAACTCTCGATCCATCCTGCAAATCAAGTATTAGTGCTTCTCCAGCAGGAACAGTAAGATTTGTTATTATTATGTTAGTACAATGAGTAACCACTGTTTCCACTTGGGAAAATTCTGTTATAACACACTCATTTTGCTGACTTGTAACTAACGAAGTAAAAAATGTAAAAATTAATATTTTACCTAACATTTTAAACGCAAGTATAACCCGTAGAATGATTAAATTTAAAATAAAAAAGAATGTAAAATGGTATACATTAAATTACAATTCTAGTACTCGATTTTAAGTTAAGATTACTTTCTAAATTAGATAAAAATTAATATTATTGATAACTTTTAAGTGAATCTTGTATCATAAGATTTGAATTATAATTTGTGTACAGTAACGCAGGTTTCTTCACTTGCAAAATCAAATCGCTTATAGTCTAATCAATTAATGATTTTATTTACGTCATAAAATATTACTGGTTGAAATTATTTCGAAGAAATTTGCAATACACTTTTTTCACAAATATTTTTGAACTTATACAGTAATGCAAATTTCAAGATCCCCTTAGAAACATTTTTCTTATCAGCAATCTGAACCTAAATGAACTAAAGCCTTTGTTGTGTGCTTTGTTTACTTTTTTTCTTTATTTGTGCTAACTTACACGATTTAAATTATTTTAACACCCACTGTTTTGTGAATTTTCTGATAGTTTTCTTTGTGACACCGTAAAAGGGTTCTGGGTCAAAATTGCGCTTATGTCCTTTGTGGCCTGGTACCCTGGCTAAGGTTAGTCTGTTTTGACAACACAACTGTTGTGGGCATTCCAAACAGTCCGACAAAAAAATCAAAACATTTTCTTATCTTGCCTTCATGTTTTGTTCTTATAAGGCGTTTCTTCGATCATTTCATGTGATAAAACAATCAGTTTTTTTTTTAAATGTAATTTTTTTTATACAAGAGGCTTCCAAGACCTTACAAATGAAGTATCACTTAACCCCTCTTCTCTATTTAATTTTGAAGGGTTGAAGCGCCGCCTTATAGGGGGTTGCTCGTTCAAGCCTCATATAAACGTCTTTATCGTCAGAACTTAAAGTTATGACTAAAGGTTCAACTACCGTTTCGATCATACCGTCCAAGCGCCACATATTATTTTCTTCCTTAATTACATGGGAAATAGCATTTTGCCAATTTTCAGGTTTTATACGTTCTATACCGGTTTCTAATAAACTTTGAACGTCGGCTATTTTAAAAGTTTTATTTTCTCGAGCTACAAACCCTTTCACTTGCATCCAAATTAGTTCAATAGGATTGAATTCGCAGTCTTAGTACCGTAATACCACGATTACGAGCCATTGTGTCGACAACATATTAAATATATTTATGACGGTGTTCGTTTATTAGGTCCATTAATTCCACTTTAAACATCTCCTCAGTAAATGTTATTGCTTTATCCCGCAGCTAGGTTTGCATATCCGCTTTCCTACTGGACATTATCGGAATGCGTTCAACTCGTCGACTGTGATAAGAAGCGTTATCTAGTACAATAACTGAATTTTGTTCTACGCGCTGTAATACTTCAGTAAACCATTTTTCAAAGCATTACGCATTCATGTCCTCATGGTAGTCTCCTTTTTTTTTTTTCGATATAAACACAAGAGCGCTATTTTCCAAAAATCCACTGTCACTTCCGACATGGATAACAATTAGGCGCTGTCCTTTACCTGATGGTGCTTTCAAACCTGTAGATAATCTCTCTATAAAAGCTTGGCGACGACTAGTTACAGAAGTATCTTGCTATATCTTAGATACAGTGTGTCCAGTATTCACCCACGTTTCATCGAGATAGTATCTCTTTTTTTTAGCGGCTCGAATTTCTTTAATATTTCGTAAATAACGCCATCGCCAGGACACTATATCTGACCTCTCAATTAAAATTGATTTCCTACACCGTTTGACAAAACGAAATTTTAGGCCCCATAAAATTTTTCGTAAAGTTTCATGGCTCATTAATGGAATTTCTTCGTTTCCTCTTAATTTTGTAAGAACAACTTTAAGTGTTGGGGCTTTGTTTACGAAAAAAAAAAAAGAATTACAGTTCTTCGAATGATTTGTTTTTGGTTATCGTCCAATTTCAACAATTTTTGGACCACGGGTATGCGTTTTAGGGGCTTCTAAGGAGCCTTTTTTGTCTTTTCGCGTACAATACGTTCAATTGTTGAAACAGATACTCCAGTTAAAAAAGAACTGCGGTTTACAGCTTCATTTGTAGGAGGTGTCTATTTCAGCCCATCATACACTTATCATATAATGTTCTTTTCATCCTTTCATAAGGGCTTTCTCCGACGTAATTGGGTTTCACTTGGACCCGCCTCTGAATCCATTACTATTGTAAGTAACAATATAATTCTACTATTAAATTGTTTTTATTAAATTTATAAAGACACCAATATTTTACTATTTAATAAACTTTTAAAGTACCTACAATATACTACACAATAAATATAACTCCTCAAATATGCACTACCACTACCAAATTGTAAGGCACAAACATAAATACCTACTCGTATATCAGAAAAGAGCACTTACACAATTTTTTTTTTATGGCTGTTGGATATGTTTTCCATTTAGCCAGAATCAATAATATTAAGTTTTATCGTACCTGTCTATTAACCCTATCTATTCCAAAAAAACAAAGCCCCCCACAACAAGGAGTATGGAATTGGGTAAACACATTTCACACCCAGGGGTCTATCATCAGGGTGACTGACGCACAGATTGAGGGGACCTCGGTTAAGAAAGGTTGTACAATATTTAGGTTGACAAAAACAAAGGGTACAAAACTAACCTATACTATAATTTTAAGCCGCAAGCTTTGGTAAAACCCTACAGGGCTTCATATACTGCTGAATCGTTCAGCGACAAAAGGTACATTAAGTTAAATGGGGCTAAAATGCCATTTGCTAGTAGCTGGTTAAAAAGTTGCTGTGTTTGAATGTTATACTTTTTGCAACTGAAAAATATATGATCCAAATCACTAATCACACTACAACTGTCGCAAAGGTTGGAGTCTATAACTTTAATTTTGTGTAAATGATAAGGGTAACAAGCATGTCCAAATTTGATTCTACTGATCGTTACAATACTATTTCGTGGGTACTTTAAATTCTTATGCCACAATTCGTTAGGTATAACTGGGTGGAGTAAGGTGTAACGGGTTGGTTTGTTTCTACAATATTGAATCCAGTACAGGTTCCATCGTTCTTTTAACTTCTTTCTAGAATGACTTATGCATTCGTCAATGCTAATATTATTTTTAAGAATTTGGCCAGTATCGATGCTTTCCTTTGCTAGTTTATCGACTGTCTCATTAAAATGTAAGCCGATATGTGCCTTTACCCATAAGAACTTTATATCAAACTGTATTTGTTTTAATTTGTTGATTTGTAATTTTAACTTGATAATAGAAGCGTTTTGGTTGGGTGCTATAATGTCAATAGCGTCAGCTATAGTTTTGAGGACAGAGAGTGAATCAGATAATATGATTACCTTTTTAAAGGAATGATGTTCGGCGTATTCTAGTGCCTGAATAATCCCAATGGCTTCAGCAGAAAATATTGAGGTAAATGCATTTAATTTATACTGTGCTTTAATATTTAAAGAGGGAATGAAAAATGCACATCCAACTCCACTGTTTTGTTTGGACGCGTCAGTGTAAATGTGAAGGTAATTTGGATATTTTGATAGGTGACAATTTAGTACTCGATGACTAATTGTAGGTATATCGCTATACGATGGAATTTTAATAGTCACTGGATCCAAGGCTAATATCATGTCAGTTATATTATTTAAGCTATGTTTCTTTAGCATAGATGCCGTATAACTGATTACTCTGAGAGCACTACATGATAAGGGGGAAGGTTTTTTTCCCAGTATTTGTTGGTGAGATCGTACGTATTTAAGTTTGATATTTGTTTGAGTATCAAAGAGTCTTTATTCGTGGCTTTATATATAAATTTGCCCGCTATCAATTTCCTGCGTAGTTCCAAAGGTGGTTCCAATGCTTCAACTCAGAGAGGTTCTACAGGAGTAGAGCGCATTGCACCTATACAAAGTCTAAGGGCGGAGTTTTGAAGTACTTCTAATCTTTTTAATACATTTGCTGAATCTGATCCATAGAAAATACTGCCGTAATCCATAATCGACCGGATGTACGCCCTATAGAAGATGAGACATGTTTGGGGATCCGCTCCCCACCATGTCCTTCGTATTAATTTTAAAAAATTTAAACCTTTATTGCATTTGGCTACAATTTTATCTATATACGGTCTCCATGTGAGTTTTTTATCAAGTGTGATACCAAGGTAAGTGGCTACTGATGACACGGGGTGTGCGATGTTATTAATTTCTATGTTGTTTATGTGAGGGAGATTATGCCTACTAAAGAATGTAATATTTGATTTTTCAGGAGTTAAATTAAAACCTAATTTATTTAGTTTTTCTCTTACAGAATTAATAGCTTCTTTTAGTGATGTTAGAGAATTTGAATACCTTTTTTCCGAATTGTATATCACAAAATCGTCGGCATATTGTATAAAACCGTAATCTATGTTGTCATGAAGATTTCTTGTAAAAATGTTAAATAGAATGGGTGACAGCACTGACCCTTGGGGCAAGCCCGTGGAGACACACCGAGGACCTATTAGCGTGTTGTTTATGGATCTTACATAAGTTTTTCGATCTACAAATAAACTACTTAACATATTACATATTCTTGGCGGAATAGAGGCACTTAGCAATTTGTCTCTTAACATAAAAATGTCAACAGAGTCGTAAGCCCCTTTTATATCGAGAAAAGCTGCTCCCATATAATAATTTTTTGAAAGACATATTTGTGCGTCTGTGACTAATTGCATAACTGCGTCGGTGGTGCTGAAGCCTCTTTTAAAACCAAACTGACTACAAGGTAGAATCGAATTAGATAATACGTGATACTCCAATCTACGTGTGATTATTCGTTCGAATGTTTTAAATACGCAAGATAGTAGAGTTATGGGGCGATACGAATCAGCTAAATTTGGGTGTTTTCCGTTTTTATGTATGGGTACCACTATCGATGACTTCCAGTCTTCTATAACACCGTTGTGTAACCAAACGTCGTTGTATATCTCAATCAAGAATTGTTTCGCGTTGTCAGCTAAAACCCAGATCATGTCATATGTAACGTTATCATAACCCGGTGAGGTATTAGTAACGTTTTTCAAAGCGAAATTA